CTGTTTGAATTTGGGTGTGTTATCTTTCATAGGCCACCTTTTTTTTTTTTAATGCATTTAATAATCATTGTTGTCCACAGTGCCTCTGGAGTCACTGTGCTCACCATGCAATGAATTAACTCCTGTGCTCAGGAGCGCTCTGTGTAGGCCTGTCTGGGAGCACTCTCTGTGTAGAAGCATGACCTGTGAAAGCCAGGATGGAAAAGGATTTATGAACCTCTACTCAACCATGCCTTTAGTCAAAAATGCACATAAAACTGTGAGTGCTCAACCTAGGGCTCCATAGTAACTTTAGTTTAATTATACTTAGTAAAAATCTGTTCATTTACCAGTATTATCTGTTCCAATGCTTTTTAAACTATTGATCTTAAGATGCTCTATTTTAAAATATTAATTTTTACTATAGAAATAAAAGTGTAATAGTTGTCCCCCGCTTGTACATGTTTAGAAGGCAAGGTTGTTGTGATAGCAACAACTAGACAGGGCCGAGTTTGACAGATCTCTGATTGCAGGTGTATATGGGAACAGTTCAGTTTGCTTATTTTTTTCTCATTTAAAAAATTTACTACTGTTCTTGACAACCTGAAGAGGTGGGATAGGTGGGCAGGGTGGCTCAAGAGGGACGGTGTGTATATATAATTATGACTGATTCTTCTTGTATGGCAGAAACCAACACAACATTGTAAAGCAGTCATCCTCCAATTAAAAATAAATAAAATTAAAATTTACTGCTCTTCTTAGAAATCATGTTATCAGCTGTTGCTCAGAAACTGTCTTTTTGCTCAACACAGAGGTCATTTTGATCATGATTTGCAAGATAAATTAGTTATAAGTAGATGTATCTTAATAGAATGTTCTTTTTCATTACTTTCTTCACTAGATAAATTTTTTAAAGTCTCATTCCCTATCTTAGCCAAAATTTTGTAGCAAATTACATGTTTTCTCAAAACTTACGGAAAATGAATCAGGCACATAAATTCTTTCAGAAAGTAAAAGTAGCATATTTGTGTTTCATAAGACGCTGATAACTATTTTATGGCAATTGATATAATTTAATGTATATAGTATATTTCAAATTTATTTTTACCAGTCATGTCCTTTTTGCTTTTAGCAATGAAATTGTCTACTACATAGCATCCTTCTGTCTTCCTTCTGAAAGTGACATTATTTCTGAAACTGTGGCTTAGCACTGAGAAGGAAAATGATGCCTTTCTTACTCTAAGGAAGGAAATGTAGTATGCTAGAAAGCGCTCTGAAGTGGGACAAGGAAATAAGGGTGCTGGTTCCAGCTGTGCTGTAATATAAATGTTTGTTAAATGAACAGATCAATAAATATGAGACCTTTGAACCTCAGTTTCCCAACTGTAAAGGTTAGAAACTAGGTTAGAGTAAATTATTATTAGTAGTAAATTATTATAGACTAAGTTACTCTAGGTTAGAGCAACTGTAAAGGTTAGAGTAGGTTATCTCTGTGTCTCCTACTAGCTCTAAAATCTCCTTATTTCATGTAAGCAGTGTCTCCCTTCTTGCTGGAATCCTTCACTGTGAAATAGACATCTCAAGGATTGTTAATAATGGAATGCATTTAGTATGTGTTAGTGTAATGATATTTTACCTATTTTTTTATTTTTACCTATTGTTAATCCATCTCCCTCTGCTTGCAGGGGCTTTCCTGGTAGGTTAGCTGGTAAAGAATCTACCTGCAATGCAGAAGACCCTGGTTTGATTCCTGGGTCGGGAAGATCCCCTGGAGAAGGGCTGCTTGGAAACATTCCTTACATAATTACACAGGAAGTCTGTAATGGGAGTTGGGAGTGAGATCTTGATTTTTTTTTTAATACCTTTTCTAAGGTTCTAACATGTGAAACTAGTTTCCCAGAATTATTTTGGTCCAAATCTGAAATAGAAATTTTTCATACATTTTTATGCTAGTCCCAAACTCAGTTCTTAATGCAATGAGCTATGTATGTATACATTAATTTATCTGTAGAAAATATTGCTTTAATGTTCTAAAGCCACTGTTGCTGTTGTTCAGTTGCTAAGTTGTGTCCAACTCTTTGTGACCCCATAGACTGCAGCACACCAGGCTTCCCTGTCCTTCATTATCTCCCGGAGTTTGCTCAAACTCATGTCCATTGAGTCAGTGATGCCATCCAACTATTTCATCCTGTTACCCTCTTCTCCTCCTGCCCTCAATCTTTCCCAGTATCAGGCTCTTTGCATCATGTGGCCAAAGTGGTGGAGCTTCAGCTTCAGCGTCAGGTGTTCCAATGAATATTCAGGGTTAATTTCCTATAGGATTGACTGGTTTGATCTCCTTGCTGTCCAAGGGACTCTCAAGAGTCTTCTCCAGAACCACAGTTTGAAAGCATCGATTCTTCAGCACTCAGCCTTCTTTATAGTCCAACTCTCACATCCGTACATGACTCCTGGAAAAACCATAGCTTTGACTATATAGACCTTTGTCGGCAAAGTAATGTTTCTGCTTTTTTTTTTTTTTTATGTCTCTGCTTTTTAATACTCTGTCTAGGTTGGTCATAACTTTTTTTCCGAGGAGCAGCCATGCCACACAGTCAAACTCATGCTCTGTTTATTTTGTGTGAAACCTCTGTAAATAACCTGCCTGGGAAAGATCTGCAAGGACATGTCTCACTTGAATGAGAGAGGCTAGGTTGAGAAAAGATGGAGGAAGCATATGGAGATCCCAGCTTATCTTGAATGAAGGTTTCTGGTGTGGGTTTGTGCTTTTGTTTTAAATCAGTTGCCAGAATACCAGATATGCGTGTGTGTGTGTGTATGTCAGGCGGTCAGTCATATCCAACTCTTTGTGATCCCATGGACTGTAGCCTGCCAGGCTCCTTTGCCCTTAAAATTCTCTAGGCAAGAATACTGGAGTGGGTAGCCATTCACTTCTCCAGAGGATCATCCTGACCCAGGGATTGAACCCAGGTCTCCTGCTTTGCAAGCAAATTCTTTACCATCTGAGCCACCAGGGAAACCGCAACACCAGACAGAGTTACATTCAAGTGTAACGGATTTGGTGGATTATAATTCAGACATTAAAATTATACCTATGAAGAATTTTTAATGATATGGCAAATTGTTTTTAATACAGTAACTGAGAAAAGAAATTTTGCATTATGATTTTATTTCAATGAAAGGGAAGTAAACACACAAGTTTATTAACTGTGGTTTTTTCCTAGATGATAATATTATTTTATGGTATTTTTTCTTTCTGTATTTTTGCTTTAAAAAACAAAAAATTGAGCTAATGGTTTTTTAAAAAATTTTAAATGTAAGTTACGTTGTGAGGTTTTGTTTTTTTTTGTGTTTGTATTATTGCAAATTTGGATGTTCCCATTTTCTCATGATTCCAGAGGAGGAACAACTCTAAACATCACAAGGGTCAACAAATGCAGGCGATCCCAGCAACCCTTTTATTTATGTGCTGGGTACTAACTGCTTGGGCTTCCCTAGTGGCTCAGGTGGTTAAGAATCCGTCTTTAATTCAGGAGCCCTGGGTTCTATCCCTGGGTCAGGAAGATCCCCTGGAGAAGGGAATGGCTATCCACTGCAGTATTCGTGCCTGGAGAATTCCATGGCTAGAGGAGCCTGGTGGGCCACAGCCCACGGGGTCCCAATGAGTTGGACATGATTGAGCAACTAACACACACACACTAACTACATACAAGAGATCTTGAAAAAATCTCAGGACTTCCCTGTAGGTCCAGTAGTTAAGAATCTGCCTTCCAATGCAGGGGTTGTGAGTTTAATCCCTGGTCAGGGAACTAAGATCACACACAGTGCAAGGCAACTTAACCCACACGCCACAACTAAGGCCCCACACAGCCAAATAAATAGTTTTTTAAAAAGACATATCTTAGAGTAAAAGAGCCAAAATATCTTTTGCAGGAAACAGGCAAAAAAAAAAGTCTTACATAATGAGAAAACTGTATGAGGGGTAATGACACATATGGGTGGCATGGTCAACTCAGTCTGGGAGAATCCAGAGGTGTTGCTTGAGTCCAGAGTTGGGTTAAAAGATGGAGGCAGAGATTCACAGGGAACCGCTTGTAGGAAAGTCCTTTAGCATGAAGCTCAGTGGTGGTTCTGGGAATTATGATTAATTTAGTGACAGTGGACACAGACTATAGAAGAGATCAAGAGCAAACGTGGCAAGGAAATTGTCAGGAGTAAAATCGTGGCTGTCTTTGAACGTCATACTTAGTAGTCTGGCCTTTCTCCTCTGTATGACAGGAAGCCATTAAGAGGTTTTAAGTTGTGGATTTACAGTTGATTTGTCTTTTAGAAAGATGCCTCTAGCGCTGTGGGGAAGAGGTAGTGAAATGGGAGGCTCCAGAGGGGAGCTGTTACCACCGTGAAGTGAAGCTGGCCAGAATTGTGACAGAGGGAATGAAGATGCAGGGGTGAACTTGAGAGACAGTGAAATCCCAACGTAGACCCTGACCCAGCAGGCTGTGCCGTGTGAAGGAGAGGGGTGACCAGGAGGAGCCCTCGGGTCCTGGTGTTGTTGGAAGAGGGGATTGTGCGAGGAGATGAGGGGAAGTATGTGTCAGTTTGAGATATAAAGTTAAGGGTTTTTTTTTTTGTCCTTTTTTCCTTCCCTTCTGTCTCTTTCTGCCTTTCCATCCTTCCCTTCTGTTTCTACCTTCCTCCTTCCTTCCTTACTCCCTCCCTACCTCTTTCTTTCTTTCTTTTCTTTTCACTCAGGCATTTAGTCATTCAGTCAACCTTTATTAAGCCCTCACTGTATGCCATGCACTATCCCAGTCACTGCTGAAGGTTCATTATAAAGCAGGCCCATTTCTGTGAACCCTCAGCCATAAGGGGAAAGAGGCCGTGTCCACGGCCACAGTCACCAGGTGTCTCTGACCAGGACACAGCTAGTCAGACCTGAGACTACTTAAATCCTTTCAAATGGTGTTGCATATTACGTGTTTTCTATTTGGAAACACCTCTAATGGCCATTTTCTTTCTAGGTAGTGCTATTATTTCTGTTATGTTTCTGAGAGAAAATTTGAGAACCTCGGATTTACTAGGTAAGTAATTATATAATTCAGGTAATTAAAGCTCTGTTTGATGAGGAAATAACTAATCCTATCCATTAAGAATATGTGTTTTAAAAGCAAGGAACAAATTACTGAAATGGATATAGTGTCATCTAGAGGCGAACATTATCCTGCCTTGGAGTTGCCATCTGCTCTTTGACATGAAATACGTGCATCTTCATTGTGGCCGCTGCCCAAGCTATTGACCACAGCAGATCATTATTGTACAGTATTATTACTATTGTGAATGTTATGAAAATTTTATGAACGTCGTAAAATCCAAGAAAACATCTGTGTTACCTAATAGAGTATTCCACTTCAAAGGACATATTTAATAGATTGTTCCATGGAGGGACTGCATGAAAATGAAAACCACGTCCAAAAATTAGATGTACCAATTAACTACCTAATTTTTTGTTAGCCTTTTCCAAAAGTAACATAGAATATTGATCTTCAAAATTTTATTTAGAGGGAATTCCCTGGCAATCCAGTGGTGAGGAGTCCACGTACTCACTGCTGAGGATTCTTGTTCAATCCCTGATCAGGAAACTTAAGGTCTCACAAGCTGTGCAGTATAGCCAAAAAAAAATTTTTTTTTAAAATTTAGAAATACAGCTATTAATGAAAAATCACAGTAGCCTTACTGGCTGTAAAAAATGTTTCTGCTGCACGGCAAAGCCAACACATATTGATTGTATCTTCTACCTCTTGTTGGAAATATCACTGGTGAGAAGAATTATAAAAATTCATATTTTCTTCCTTGACAAAATCCTGTCTGAATTACTGCCGACATATGATAATGAGTATAAGACTTTAGGCACTTTAAATAAAGCCATGTCTACTCAGTTCCAAGGAGATCATATTAAAAAAAAACTGTTTGAGTTTAAATGTGACACCAGTGTTGGTATGTTGAACATTTGTTTCCCTGATCATGTTTCCCTTGAGCCTAGTGTCTTGAAGGAGTTTTCACTTTTTCTTTTTCCTCCTTGATTTGATTCTGCTGGTAGAGTTTTTTAGTCAACACTGTCAAATTTTCATGGTTAAAATGTTTTTCCAAATGCATTCATATGTGAATTGTGGCTTTTCAAATACATTATTTTTCTATACTCTTTTTTTGTACTATGGTTATGGCCTCATTTGGGGACGTTGTATGGAATCAGAAATAAGAATGAGCAATGCCTGAGTTTTATAGATTAAAGCAATTAGGTCCTACGTTATGTTTCTCATTTATCAAAAGTCTTATGGAAACTTTAAGTCATTTAATCTTACATATGTCATCTTTTGTAATTAATGGCTGATTAATGTTTAAATAAATGTAAGGTATTTAATGAGTAATACAGATTGGATATAGAGGAAGTCTTGCCAATTATTATGAACCCTTGTGATAAAACGATGATTAAGAGAGAATCCCTGCCTTCAAGTAATATGGTCAATGATCAAATATATACAAAAATACATTTTTAAAAGCAGAAAACAATATGTGTTATAATGCCTGAACCGTTAGTTTAGAACAGAGTTTCTCAGCCTCAGCACTACTAACATTTTAGGTTGGATAATTCATCATAGGGGGATGTACTGTGCACTCTAGTGTGTTTAGCAGCATCGCTTTTGGCCTTTACCCATTCGCTGCCAGTAGCACACTCTGCCCCAGTTATGACAACCAAAAATAACTTCAAACATTGTCACATCTCCCTTGGGCGGCGGAGGGCAGGCAAAATTGCCTCCGGTTGAGAACCACTGGTTTAGAATAAAGAGAGATTACTCTAGTTAGAAAGCTTAGAGAGGATTTTCTGTAGCGCAGATACCATTTGAATTAGTTCTGACAGCTGAATAGGACAGGCATGGACCACCTCTAAGCATCTGGAGGATGGCAAACAGAGGGAATAAGATGAGCACTGTTGACAAATGAATGAAAAGGTAAGATAAGTTTCTATGTAGTACTGTGCTACAAGCACTGCCAATGAGGATTGGGAGAAAAATTAATGAAAGTCATAGCTATAGGAAGGAAAGAAATAGAAATGTCAATATGTGCCAGTGACTTGATTATATTCTTAGAAAACCCAAGATCAACTGAACATTACTAAAAGCAGTAAACTAGTTCAATATCAAAGGATATAAAATAAACTCACTCTCAAGGGTTCAAAGCTGGATTCAACTTCTGCTATCAACTGTGTGGCCAACGTATTACTTAACTTCTCTAAGCCAGTTTGCTGACAAATATAGAAGACTATTTTAAGGGTCAAATTGGATAATTGATACAAGCACTTTGAGACATGGAAAGCCCTGTTATTAATAATAAAATTATTATTTCTATGATTAACTTCATTCCTAAGAGGTAATACTAAAAACATAAGAAATAGGAAATACACTCACATACACATGTAACAACAACAACAACAAAAACCCTCTATCAATTCTTTGATTCTTTGCTAATTTTTCTTACTTTAAAAATAGCCAAGATTTATTAAATATCTACTTCTTTCAGGTACTATAAGTGTTTTGCATGAACCGTCTCATTTAAATGTAGGAACATTCATTTACAGATCTGCTTTGTTATTGCTGTTTAGTCGCTAAGTCGTGTCCAGCTCTTTTGCAACCCCATGGACTATAGTCCACTAGGCTCCTCTGTCCATGGGATTTCCCAGGCAAGAATACTGGAGTGGGTTGCCATTTCCCACTCAAAGAGTTATGTGACTTTTGCTAAATTACTTAATCCCTTTAAGCCCCAAATTTCCTCATCCTTAAAATGAAGATAATATTACCTATGTCATAGGATTAAACAAGTATATAAAACTTGTGTATGTAAGACTCTTGGAAGAGGGTCTGTCATGTAATAAGTCCTCAATAATGGCCGCTATTATTATCATAGCTATTAATACCACCACCCACCACTCTGTGCTGTTTCTTCATGAAGGAAAACCTTGATTAGGATATTTAGTGAACTTTAGTAATCCAGGTAACATTTCCCACAACTCTGATTGAGTTTTTTTGCCTTTTACCTGAATGCTTTTTGATCAGGGATTTGTCTGTTATCATATTTGTATCATACTGTAGTTAAAAGTGATCAATTCTTGATTAACGTTACAGGAATAAGAAAGGACATAGTCACCAATTCCATATCCGTGCCTCCGACAGCAATACCATATGATTATCATGACTTGAGATGTTATAACCCTTTTCAGGCTTGGGAAGGACTCTTTCCCAACCATCCTCAGTAGTGTGTTAGGTCACATGTATTTTCTTGGGACCTATATTGCTGTTGCCTTGAGAAAATTTGGCTCTTTCTGTTAAAAGCTAAAAATGCATTGTTTTTTGTTTACAGGGACTAAGACCAAACAGGGAAAAGAGTAGTTAGTGGCATTTTATACAAGATTAACATATAAGCATGCTAAAAATTAAATTGTCAAAATGTGTAAAATGTATTTTTCCCTGCTTCAGGCAAATGAAAGTTTGTTTTTCATGATGGAACAAATGAAATTTTTTTTGGACCATGTGGAAACAAGCTGAACTAATATATTGCCAAATGTTGATCTGTGGCTATGAAGCTTTTCACCACTAGCCTCAAAAAATGACCTCACAAAAGCTATGTCTGAAAGAAATCACCAACTATTATTAATTCAATGACAGGCTTTGGACTGTGCTCTGATTCTTAGTGGATTAATAACTTTAAATTATTTTAATGATTATTTTTCCTCTAAAATGCACCAGAATTCTCTCCCCTTCAATCAACCAAAACTATAGTATTTCCCCCTCTCCTCCCTTAGTCATCAAAAATACCGAATCTAATAATCTGTGGGATCCTAGTTGACTTAAGTCCAGACATTGTCATCATAAAAATAAAAATTACATCAGCACTCTCCAGAGTAACTTGATTATTTCAAGTCACCTATATGTGGTTTCCCCATTGATAGAATGTCAAGAGACTAATAGTGAGACAAAGAATACTTCCTTCCTTCCTTCTCCCACACTAGAGGTCAGCTTGGTTTAAAGCCAGGACCTAGAATACTAATCTAGCCAAACAAAAAATCATTTCTAGTTGAGAGGCTATTTGGTTTTAAAACTGGCTCAAGAATGGGAGACTTTATGATGGTAGATTCAGAACAATTTAAATTCACTATATTATTTAGATAAGTTAAATAAGCAGGGTGACAGTATACACCCTACTTAGTTAACTTATTGGAAGGACTGATGCTGAAGCTGAAGCTCCAATACTTTGGCCACCTGACATGAAGAGCGGACTCATTGGAGAAGATCCTGATGCTGGGAAAGACTGAGGCAAAAGGAGAAGGGGATGACAGAGGATGAGATGGTTAGATAGCATCACTGACTCAATGGACATGAGTTTGCGCAAACTCCAAGAAATGGTGAAAGACAGGGAAGCATGGCATGCTGCAGTCCATGGGGGTCACAAAGAGTCAGACATGACTTAGCGACTGAACAACACTTTTGAGACTTGCCAATCCAGGGCTTCTTCAGGACTTGGCCTTAAGCCTGAGGAATCTGAAGAGACTATACTGAGGAGAAGGCACCCTTCGGTGTGAAGGAATCCAGTTTATGCTGTGGTATTTAGTGGTATACCACTAAAGCAATAGCTGGACCGCCATTGATCCGGCGGCATATTGCAGGCTCTAAGAGAAGCAGACAGCAATGTAGGTTAAGGTCAGCTTAGCTGAATTTTTCAACTCTTGAGGCTATCAGAAGTCAGGTCAAGCCAGATTCCAGAAACTAGCTTAACCACAGTTAACACTAACTGGCAATGAGCTGGAGGAGTGGGGACACAATTAAAAGCGATTTCAGGTTTTACTTAAGGAGAAGGGTGGGCTGGGAAACTGGATATCTTTTGAGGAAGAACTGTGCAAGTGGATTCTAAAATCCAAGGCTTGCACAAGTGAGGAACTCAGCAGGCTATAGATGCCAGTGAACAGACACATCAGAAGGAGCCTGCCTATAAGCTGTTTTCCCTTCCTCTATCTTTATATGTCAGCCTCCGTCCACAAGCATCTATAGGAGACTTTTGCAGCAGAGCTTCAGTAGCCTCTTGAAACAGAGGCTGTATTCTCACAGCTGTATCCAGTTAAATGCCAGGCATTTCTCAGAGTATAAAATATTCCTCCAAACACTACTTCAGGATGATATAAATGGTCAAATATGTTTAGAAAATATTACAACCATATCCTCCCCAAGGAGATTCACAATGAACGCTAACACATTCAGGCTCTCAGGGGTCTTCCAGTAAAATAGCGATTTAAATTTGTTTAACTCACCTCTTTCCAAATAGACTTGAGTTGAAACTTTTTTTGGTGGTGTGTCCATCTTATGAAACTGGGTTCTAGGGAACACCAGTTTGGAGACGTTCTTCTCAAGAAACTTAAGGGCCAGTCGGGGCCTTAAGGAACCGCTGCCAGACGGAGTCCATTCCTTCTCTCCCCTGTGGAGATGTTTCATCCAGCCTCATGTGCTCAGTACAACTCCTGGGGTGCCACTCACTGAGACTACAAGGTGAATGACAGACTTGTGTAATCCATTTGTCAGCCCTGGTCCATTATGCATACAAGAGGCAGAAGAGTATAACCATTAAGAACAGGTTATCTAGGGACTTCCCTGGTGGTCCAGTGGTTAAGATTCCACGCTCCCAATGCAGGGGGCCCAGGTTTGATCCCTGGTCAGGGAACTAGATCCCACATGCCACAATTAAGACCCAGCACAGCAAGTAGATAAATAAACATATATATATATGTGTGTGTGTATATATATATTAAAAGAGTAAGTTACCTAGGTTCCAGTTCAAGCTCTTCACTTAGCCCAAACAAGGTAATTATTCTGTCTGTGACTCAGTTTTCTCATTTGTCAAATACGGCTAGTAATAGTTTAATAGTATCCAATGTTATATATTATACAATGTACATATACTATATGTTAGTATAGCAACATGCAGTATAGTTATTTTTGCAGGCTTTTTGTAAGAAATATTAGTTGTGTTTGTATAAAGCATTTAGATTATGCTAAGTATTAGCTATTGCTATTATAGTTCTTATTATCATCACATTTCTGTGTGATGGTGATCATAATGTAACTCTCATGTCAGCCACAATTGTCTATGAAATCTATAGCTTTGAGCGCATTGCTTAAAAAGAATGATTACCTTCCCTTGGCATTTGCCCTCCCAGTACACCTAGTCCATCTACTCCAAAGAGCAGGGATGAGCTTGTTTCCCTGTTTTGTACATGTGACAAGTTTATAGGAGGAGATTTTATTAATACTTGTATCAAGCTGAATCTGAAATGCCCACCAGATCATTGTAGATTTTTATATGACTTCAGTTGTATTTGATGAGAAAATGTATTTGGTGCAGGTCTGGGCACAAGGGTGGCAGATGAGCACACATCCCTGTATCCAGCATCCCGTGGTTGATGACCACCTGCAGCTGACTCACTGCTGCCTGACCGCTCCGCCTTTGGTCCCCACCAATGGTCAGCTCTCAGTGTTTTGTGTTCCAGTTCCCTGAGGTTAGGGACTTCCCTGGTGACAGACGGTAAAGCATCTGCCTGCAATGTGGGAGACCTGGATTCGATCCCTGGCTTGGGAAGATCGCCTGGAGAAGGAAATGGCAACCCACTCCAGTATTCTTGCCTGGGAAATCCCATGGACAGAGGAGCCTAGTGGGCTACAGTCTATGGGGTCAGAAAGAGTCAGACACAATTTAGCGACTAAACAACAACAACAACGTGATGTTTCATGCCGCTTTTAGGAAAAGGTGGGATATAAAAATATTTTGCAGAAATTTATTGAAGCAACTGCTGGTGGCTGTCTGCAACACTTTCAAACACTTATGAAAAATGTGCACATGACTCATGAAGGAGACAGTATATCACATAGGAAAATAAAAATGACACCAAAGAAACAAACAAATTAGAGCAGTTATCCAGAACTGCCTTCGTAAATGTAGGACGTTGCTGAAATTAAAATTATTAGCAAGAAAGAACGTGTGACCGCCTGAGCTGCCATAGAGTTACTCACTAGACTCTCAGTGATGTGAGGTTCACATGAGATAATACGTGTGAAAAATTACTTTGAAAGGGTACTCGCAAAACCATCAGTTGTTGCATTTGTTTTTAACAAGCTTTGGAAGGCGGTGAGGATCTGCACTGGTGGAAATGGGCACAGGCCAAATTGGAAATAACACTGCCTCCATGAATGGAACAATGCAGACTCTGCAAGAATGAGGCTGCCCAACATATAATGATGTAAAACGTTTTCCGAGATGTTCTTGGAGTAGAAAAAGATGTTCTGTTAAGTAGGGAAAAAGCAAGATACAGAAAAGTATGTATAATATGCTGACATCATTCTGTGTAAAAAAAAAAAATCAAAACGCATGCACTCTCACCCACGCCTACCTAAAGCATCTGATAGGGAATTGATGTCTCAAGAGCCAGCAGCAGTAGCTCACTTTGAGGAGGGGACCTCGTGGGCCACAAGGATGTGAGAAAGAATTTCCTTTCGCTGATCCCTCTTGTATGGCTTTTCAGTTTTTTACTGTACGCATGTGTTATCCATTCAAAACTAAAATTTCAAGGTCTTCCTTGCTGGCGCAGCGGTAAAGAATCCACCTGCCAATGCAGGAGACACAGGTTCGATCCCTGATGGGGGAAGATCCCACATGCCATGCCGCAGCTATTGAAGCCCGTGTGCCCCAGGGCCCCTGCTCCTGCATAAGAGAGGTCGCCACGGTGAGAAGCCCATGCATTGCAACTAAAGAGTAGCCCTCACTTGCCTCGACTAAAGAAAAGCCCACGCAGCAATGAAGACCCAGCACAGCCAAAGATAAATAAATAAAAACCAAATTCTTGAAAAACGAAATTTGACGCTAGATAGATAAGATAAACAATTGGCAGAGGAACTCAATATAAATAAGAGATTTGGGTTTCACAAGAATAGGTTGGAAGTCTCTGAGATTTTGAAATTGTATTTCAATGCATTTATTCTGCTTTACTAAGTTTAGAAAGCTGGGTTTTTTAAAAATATCCCTTCTTCCTAGGAATGTAATATTGAACAATTATCTTATAAGATCTTTGGTTTCTTTTTTTGGTCAAAGAAAGGACAGACCTGACCAATAATTTTGCCCAAGTTCTTATATATGGTTTTTATTATTTCCTTTCATTACAATGCTTAATAATGTATATTGTTTTCTTTTTTAAAATTCTCATTAGAAAATAGCTTTTAAAATGGTGTGTATAATTTCTGTCTTCAGAAAGTAGTATTGAATAAATTGTTACATTAGAGTAAACTTATTTTATAGCTCCTACTATACCATGAATAGCTGTTGTCTGGCTTGTATAAAAAATCAAATGGATTCTCAGAAACTAGAGTTCAAAACTCTAAATCATTAGGTTGAGAACAATAAGAAATTGATGTCTTCAAATTATGAGATTGTATAGACAAACCAAATTGTTTCAGGTTGGAGTGTGTGCTGGTTGTAAATTATATACACAACAATGCTGACCTCAGTAGTGAAACAGGTTGAATTATGTTTTCAAGTTGTGCTCCCCAAAAATGCTACATAAATCAGTTTTTTTCAGGCTGCTAATTATTAATAAATAATCAGTTTCCAGTGTTATTTAGAAAGCCAAGTCTGCTTCTCTGTGGCCACTTCTCCCCCACATTTTCCGTTCCTCCGTTATTATAAGTAATGTTAAAGTGATGACAGTAACACATTCCTACATAGGTTTATTATGTGATATTTTACCGAGCTATCCCTGGAATTCTAGATTTTAAATTAGATCAAGTCAATCTGACTCAGAGTCAGCATTCACTTTGTTATTTCTCCTAAAAGGACTCCCAAAACTGACAATGATTATGGTATTCATTTACCAGAGTTTCAAAGTGTAAAATACCCAAGTATGTGTGTGTAAAGGGTCCAAGGTGAGTAAGTGCAGAGTGGACCATCAGATGATGTATTTCCCTACTCTCTGGGCCCTGCCATCTAGATCTAGGTGGATCTAGATTCATCATGCACTTCCTGGTCCACATGGAAACAAATAGCCAGGTTGGATGTGTTTCCACATCTCCATATGCATATGCATATGTGTTCTGATCGTCCCCATCTCTGGGGAAACCTTCTCTGTAGAGGTCAGGATTCATCTTGAACAACAGAAAAAAATCAGAAGCTATGTGCTACCCCATCCATCCTGTGGCCCTTATCTTATCCCCTTCTACAGGTAATGTTGTTGGGTAAATGCGTGATGTTCTTGGGATGGTTTGAGGGATTGTATTTTCATAGGCCTCCCTTGGAGAGGGGAAAGGCTACCCACTCCAGTATTCTGGCCTGGAGAATTCCATGGACTGTAGTCCATGGGGTCGCAAAGAGTCAGACACGACTGAGCGACTTTCATGACTTTTACAAGTAATGCTCAGTGTATAGGAAATTTTTACATAAACAAAAAGGCTTGAATGGCCCCTTTTCAACGTGGTTTGTCTTTTCCATTTAAAAGGTATGACGTTGGCATTGGCAGGAACATATCTATTGGTGAACTTTGCTCCAAATATAACTCAGGCTATCTCCGCAAGAACAGTACAGTATTACTTTGTTGGCTGGCAGTTCATGATCTACATGGTAAGAATTCTAAAAATTTTACTATCCTAGAAGCAATATTGTCTAGACCACTGGTACATGGAGATGTAGGAGAACTAGTATAATCTTTTCTTCTCAATGTTAATAACTCATTAAAATGTAAATATATTTGACCAGTATTTGAAACACTAAATCAACAATAGAAGTACCCCTGTTCCCTGGGTATTCGGTCCTTGGGGATAACTTATCACTGGAACAGTTTCCACAATTTAATGGAATTTAATCCAGCAAATTCCAGAGTCATGTATTTTAGGACAACTTAAAAACAAAAAATAACCTCTCTTCCCAAGTCAAAGGAAAGTACCTGAAGACATATTTTACTTCACTGAATTTTATTTAAGGTAGGTATTTTCTTCAAAAAAGCACTCATAGAAACCCATGCAATAGCCTGTCTGAAGAGAAATAAGATAATACTGAGAGGTGGGGAAAAGAAAAAACAGAATGAGCTGATGTAGAAATTGGAAGCCACTAATTGGGACTTTTTTAAAAAATTTGATGCAATGACTATGTCTGTTGGGTATTAAGAGAGAATGTGCTTGAAATAGTTGGCATATAACTTGTTATAGAGGTCAGTTTAGATTGAAAATTAAGAATATTCTAAAAAAGGCAGGCAGGCAGAAGAAAAATGGGGTTGTCTAGATGAGCATTTAACCAAGAACTGAACTGGTAAAATAGTTGTGAATTCAATAAAAAGAATCAAGGCACACAGAGTCATACATTTTTAGGGTTGGAAGTGACCTCAAAAAGCTATCAGGCCCAGTGCTCTGCCTTTAAAACAGGTTCAGTTCAGTTCAGTTCAGTCGCTCAGTTGTGTCCGACTCTTTGTGACCCCATGGACTGCAGCATGCCAGGCCTCCCTGTCCATCACCAACTCCTGGAGTTTACCCAAACTCATGTCCATTGAGTCAGTGATGCCATCCAACCATCTCATCCTCTGTCATCCGCTTCTCCTCCTGCCCTCAATCTTTCCAAGCTTCAGGGTCTTTTCAAATGAGTCAGCTCTTTGCATCAGGTGGACAAAGGATTGGAGTTTCAGCTTCAACATCAGTCCTTCCAATGAACCCTCAGGACTGATCTGCTTTAGGATGGCCTAGTTGGATCTCCTTGCAGTCCAAGGGACTCTCAAGAGTCTTCTCCAACACCACAGTTCAAAAGCATCAATTCTTCGGTGCTCAGCTTTCTTTATAGTCCAACTCTCACATCCATACATGACCACTGGAAAAACCATAGCCTTTACTAGACGGACCTTTGTTGGCAAAGTAATGTCTCTGCTTTTTAATATGCTGTCTAGGTAGGTCATAACTTTCCTTCCAAGGAGTAAGCATCTTTTAATTTCATGGCTGCAATCACCATCTGCAGTGATGTTGGAGCCCAAAAAAATAAAGTCAGCCACTGTTTCCACTGTTTCCCCATCTATTTGCCATGAGGTGATGGGACCAGATGCCATGATCTTAGTTTTCTGAATGTTGAGCTTTAAGCCAACTTTTTCACTCTCATCTTTCACTTTCATCAAGAGGCTCTTTAGTTCTTCACTTTCTGCCATAAGGGTGGTGTCATCTGCATATCTGAGGTTATTGATATTTCTCCCGGCAATCTTGATTCCAGCTTGGGTTTCTTCCAGCCCAGCATTTCTCATGATGTACTGTGCATATAAGTTAAATAAGCAGGGTGACAATATGCAGCCTTGATGTACTTCTTTTCCTATTTGGAACCAGTCTGTTGTTCCATGTCCAGTTCTAATTGTTTCTTCCTGACCTTCATACAGATTTCTCAAGAGGCGGGTCAGGTGGTCTGGTATTCCCATCTCTTTCAGAATTTTCCACAGTTTATTGTGATCCACAAAGTCAAAGGCTTTGACATAATCAATAAAGCAGAAATAGATGTTTTTCTGGAACTCTCTTGCTTTTTCAATGATCCAGCGGATGTTGGCAATTTGATTTCTGGTTCCTCTGCCTTTTCTAAAACCAGCTTGAACATCTGGAAGTTCACGGTTCACATGTTGCTGAAGCCTGACTTGGAGAGTTTTGAGCATTACTTTACTAGCATGTGAGATGAGTGCAATTGTGTGGTAGTTTGAGCATTCTTTGGTATTGCCTTTGTAAAATAGTTTGATCCTGCTTTATACCTATTATTTATACCTGGCATTTGCAGGGACACAGTCTCAGTCCCTGTTCTCAGTGTGACTCAGGATGTTACAGCAGGAACCTTACAGTATTACACTATTGTGTGGCCATTCCTAGTCAGGTGACCAGAAGCCTATATATCTTACCATCTCTGATATATAATTCTAACCACTGGGATACAAGTGTTTACCGGGCTTTTCTGTTTATATCTCCCACTCCTCCTGTCTCTTACTCAACAAAAATCTGTTTAAAAAAAATTCCTCATACACTACACACCCTTTAATAAACTAACCTATTTCCCCCCTAAACACCACCGAAAATGTATTCTTCCCCTCCACTCCCTCAGCTCCCAGTCACTGCTCACTCATCATAATGTACTAGATCCCTCCCCAAGAACTGCCAGATGGAGGTGCTGCCTTGGTCCTGATTCTTCTGGCCTCTTGTGCGGCATTTTCTGACAGCCCACTCTCTTCCCTGGCATCGCTCCCATCCCGGCTTCTTCAGTTTGTTTTCCCTGTTTCTCTTCGTCCTGTCTGATCAGTCCATCCCAGGCTCTTGGTGGGCACCCCCTCCCCTTCTGCATCCATGCTGCACAACTCTTCCAGGGTTTTCTGGGGTGATCTCATTGCCTACTCCACCACCATCGTTCTTTAGTAAGACTTTCAGATCCAGACTTGCATGTCCTTCCCAGATCTCTCCTGACCCCAAAGCTGTGTTTTCATCTGTCCGCTTATTACCACCAACTCAATGAGTTTGAGCAAACTCCGGGAGAGAGTGAAGGACAGGGAAGCCTGGCATGCTCTGGTCCAAGGGGATCTCAAAAGGTCAGACACGACTGAGGGACTGATAACAACAGCAGCGACTTACTCCTTATTCCTGCTTGGCTATCCCATAGAGTCCGCAGGACTAACATCTCAGAAACTGAACTCAAGGTCTCCTCCCCTAAACTCCCTCCTCTCTTAAATCGGAAAGTTCCCTTTAACTTCATCCTCCAACAAACTTCAGGAGTGGGCTTTCCGATTCAGAGTAGGCTTCCTCAGGTCTGTCGTACTTTGTCCCCCCCCCAACCCCTTCCCTCTTTTATCTTCCTACTTGTCCACTGTACCCAATCCTTTAACTACTAAAGCTTTCATCAATCACATCTAAGTACTGGAAGGACTCTTTGAGCATTCCATGATAGTCTAGACTTGAAGTCCTACCAACACATTATTATTCTTTGCCTACAGGCAAAACAAATTCTTCATCCAGTAGGAAGAGGGTCACAGAGTCTGCAACCAGAAAATTAAAAGCCTGCACTGAATCCTTTGGAGATTAAAGATGCATCAAGACTTATTTCCTGGAATAAACAGCATTGTTTGATAATTATGTATTTTATATTGTTTTAATACCAGAGAAAACAATTTAAAAGAAAAAAACTACTTTTTTAAGCCTTCTAATTCCACAAAAATGTACGCTGAAATAATTGCATTTTTCTATTTTCCAAAGGTAAATCTTAAGTTAATTTATTCACAAATTCATCCAACTAATTTAGTCACCTAGAATATAAAGGAGAATTCTTGAAGCAGGAATTTTACAGTCCTGAGAGAGATTCATGTTCCTGTAAAACAATGAAAGAATATTTGAAAATAAATGTCACCAAAAATGCAGATAATTCCAGATATTTATAAGACAGCATAAAATGAAATAATAGAGTCACATTTGAATAACACTATTGGCATTAGACTCTTAGGGGAATAGATCTATATTATCTTAGTTTATCTCAGTTTGGAATTTAATCCATTATATGTTACATCTCTAAAGACTCTAGAAGTTATCAATTGTATACTAAGATCTTGACTTGAAGTTTAAAGTTTGTTAACATGTACATAATTAATATTTAATCCTTCATTGTGCCAGGTTCTGTACTTTTTCTGCAAACTGTGGTTGCAGAGATCATAATTATAGTAACTAAGGCAATTCTTTGAAGAATCGTTCATCTGTTTTTATATTGCATATTATTTATACAATATTTGTATTATATCTTGTATTTGTATATTACACCAAGTATAAAATACAGCACATGAACTGCCTTTTGAGACTGGTCAAATAAGCAGTAAAATGAATAAAATATTTTAAAGTCTAAATAAATTTTACATATCTCAAAAGGGGATTATAAAGTCATATTATAGACCAACTAAGAGCATCTCCTTTTATCATGTGTTTAGCTGTCTCAGGTCAATATCCATCTTCCCTTTAAGAATTACATGAAGTGGAAGCCTCAGAAACAAGGCCCGACCTCTGAGCTGGGACTCTTTGGGGAAGGAAGAGGATTTGAGAAGCCTGGTGTCTACTAGTCAGAGAGGAATGAACTGTCCTTTGCTCATCCACTAAAACGTACTTTCCCACCTGGTGCTTGCCAAAAAGCAATAAAACAATCAGGTTTTCAAGGTCAAACTAGCTTGGAGAGATGCTGTGAAACATACCTGCCCCCCTGAGAAATTCATCATTTCCGTTAGCATGTTAAAAACTAGAAGTCCTTTAGGGAAGAGTTAGACCTAACCTTGTTAATCCTGCCCTGCCCCAGCTTATTTGACCATGAGGCCCTTTTCTCGAAGGGCCTTTTGTTGAACAGCAACTGTGAACACCTCGGCAGAACCCACAGGAGGGGCTGTGGCTGTCTCAGTTATTCTATGTTCTTTGGCAGGCTTGATTGTGGCTGGGTTTTTTGGGGTTTTTTTTTTGCACACCCAGATTTCCCCACAGGCTATTCTCCTTCACAAAATAATCTGCATGGTGCTCATTTTCTCTCCACCAGAAAAAAAAGTAAATAATCAGAAGCAGGGGCCCAGCCTGCCATTCAGTGTGATTTTCTACCCCAGA